ATCAGTACTTGCTGAAAAGTAACGTTTTCTTTCAGGAAATAGCCTGCCTTTTGATGTGTAGTTATATTTCATTAGGAAATAATGTAAACTACTCTACCTTAGAATTAAATTCTCTTCTCAGCCTCCCAGCAAATGTTAAGATCTGAATAAAGGCATGTGTAGCCAACAGGGATTCTTGACTTTGGTAAATGTCAATGATTTTCTCTTTTCTCCTTGGTGTATGTAACTTTCTTCCATGCTGCCCATCCTGGCTTTAAGAGCAGCTAAGCAAACATGAGAGGGGGAATTAAGCTGATCCTTGTCTCTTAGCTTTCCTGTCTTTGTAACATGATTATTAGGTACATCATCCTCTCCATGTTGCATTCACATGGCCGCATCTGGACAGCCTGTCTTCTCGATGCACATGAGGCACAGTTTATACCAACGGGCTTTATGGATATTTTTTAAGAGCTGGGAATACTGTAGGAGCTTATACATGTGACAGCTTTGTGCTTTTGGGATTGAGGTAAGAGGGACGGAGAACACAGTGGCTGGAACAGCTTGTCTAGATTGAAAAGAAATGATGTAAGTTTGCTAGATTTTTGGCTCGACATTCTGATCCCAATTTTTTTGCAACTTCTTCTACACATTTCTTGGAGAATTGGGAATGGGACATCAACTTTATTCAGTAAATAGTTATATCTAGCAGTTATATATTGGATTCTGTGCTAAGTGCTAGAAAATACTGAGATAAACATATTACAGTTCCGACTTTCGGGGCATTTGTAATTTGTCAAGAGAGAGAAGTGTAAGGGAGGATAGCACTGCGTGAAAGTGGTTACCACAGAGCCCCGCGTGACGTGCTGCAGGTGCAGAGAGAGAGGCAGTGACACTGATTTGAGAAAGGCTTCCCAGAGGAGGCAGCAAGATGGGCTTTCAAGGATGGGCTTGCCTGGTAAAGAATGGCACAAGGAATCATCTTGGCAGATAGGCTTTATGAACCGTGGCACAGAGCCAAGTGCCGTGTGTCAGGGAAACGGCGGGAGGTTTGAGATGGTTGGTCACAGCACAGAATGATGCAACACCAGGCTGGGGATGAAGGCCGAGCCTAAGAATGACAGAACCTTGACTTTCAATTTGAAACACATCTGATATTATTTTCAATCATGGAAAGTCATGATTAGAAATGTCTACTTTAGAAAGAGTAGTGTGAAGAATAGTTTGAAAGGAGGAAGCAATTGATTGAAAGCAAATAGTTCCAGCAAGAGATGGAGAAGCTTCTTGTGTGAACGGAGTAGAGTAGATGGATATGGCGGACATTTGGAGAAAAGATCATTGTCACTTAGTGAACAAAATGAAGGCGGGAGGTGGACAGGGATGGAACCTTGGGAGAAGCCCACCTCGAAGGTGTGGGCAGAAGCAGTAGAGTTTGTGAGCGAGACTGAGAGGTATGATGGAAGATAGAGGAGGGGGTGTATGTTCAGCGAGAGTTGTGTGCTCAGCAGTGTAAATGCCTCAAAGGGGACAATTAGGGCAGGATTGAGAAGAGACCACTACACATAAGAAATTGAGGTCATGGGGAGCCTTTGTAGAAATTTTTTAGAGGTCCTGCCAGAGTGGAGAAAACAGCTGAATGCTGCACTGTTCAAGCTTTATCACTATTCCACAAGAACATAACTAACAATGAAATGCATTTGTGTAAAAGAATATTCACAAACATCCAGTCTCCAGGTATTTGGATCTAGGTACTTGGATTGGAGAAAAGCGAGAAGGGAGCTTAAGGTCAGTACTGCAGTGTCATTGACCAATACATCTGCATTTGGCTTTTTAGACTCTTAGAGAGCCCCTTCTTTGCATATACCATGACCCTAATCATGCTGTTTTGTCGTATTACTGTCAGGATTCTGTAGAATGTAGATGCTTACAGACTTCTCATCTAATTCCAGACTGGTTCTCATTTCTAACCATGATGCTTGTAGTAGATGCTGTGATATGTCACCCACATCCCCCTCCACTACCAAGGCACTTGTCCATCCGCTTAGAGTGTAGGCAGCTAGTGATGACTCTCACCTGAAAATTGTCCTTAGCTCAAGAGTGTCACTTCACCCAAGACCATAACCTCTAGGACGGATGGGGGACAGCCCATATGCAAGGACTAGTCAATGGAGGTGGAGTGCAAAGGCCCCATGTGTCAAGGTAGGATAATTCTGAGGAGTCACCCTAGCTCCAGAGCTCCCATGGGATCAGGTGAAGATTTTGTCTCCACTGCATTTCAGTTCAGCTCTTCTCTCTGCTCAGTGTAGTTCTTCCTTCACTCTCCCACAGGTGTTGTTCAAGGCATACCCCAATACACTCTCTCAGTGTGAATCTCAGAGAGTCTCAGCGTCTGTTCCACAGAGGAACCAACCTGACTCAGTGACTGTTTCCAGTTTGGTTGCCTACTCAAGGCAATGGAGCTCTTTGTTCTGTTGCCAGTGGAACTCTTTAGTTTCTCTGACCTTTGCTTCTGAGGCCCTTGGGTGTGTGGAAAGCCTCTCTTTCCCAGCAGTTTGGAATGAAAGACTCAGTATTAAGCTTCCTTGGCTCTGACTGGCTAGGCCGTCTGCCAGTTAATAGACTATTTGAGGAGAGAAACATGCCCCACGAGTCAGCTGCGCTGATCTTCCTGAGATACCCTGTTAACCTCAGCCCTGAGAGGGATCCATGCGGAGGAGTGGCCCCTGCACGTAGGAGCTGATCCCTGCTCTGCACCTGCTTCTGCTCTCCCCTCGCACCCCTGTTTGATTCCCACGTTCCTTAGGGCAGCCACTAGTCACTACCCTGTAGCTCTTCTCTTCCTTTCGTATGTTTTTTAGTCAAGAGAAGTGAATGTTGAAAACACAATTGAGATATTTCAAGTAAGTGCAGAAACCTCTCTGCAAATATGTTGCAGAAACACCACTGAGCAAACAAACTACTGGGAGGCACAGCTTAGAAACAAACAGCAGCTGCCACCATTTATGTGCTGTTTTTTTCCTTTTCCTCATTTCTTTCTAATTCTGTTTGTAATAAAACCTGCTGCTCTAATGGCCTGGTAGTTAAACAAATTTTTCTTTGCCATCTTGAGACCTCCCAGGTGGCCTGGACAGTGTCTTTTAGCTGTAGGGTGCTGGTTGACTCAGGGCTCTAGTCCCTTAACGATGTTTTCCTGTCTTGTGATTCTGTCTGAAACCACACCTGCCTGACCAGGTGGGGCATAGCCGGAATTTCTGGACTACTTGAGTTTTTAGGACATGACCAGGGAGTGTGGATTCTTGCCTTTCTGGCTTTTTAAGAGCAGGTGATAGTAACTCCAGTCTTTCTCAGTGACTAAGTGCTTAATCTGTTGGGGTTTTCTAAGCTTGTTTTTTAATTTTTCTTTTTTTTTTTTTAATGTGGAATCTTTGAAGACACATACCCAAGGGCTTCTCTTGAGTCTGATTTACTAAAGGCTGCGAATTTAAAGAATTCTGACTTGTCACATCCAACTCATTTGCCTTCTTCCCCAGAATTGCTGCTTCCCATGTAGCAGCGCTTCCCCCATTTAAATGCTATTGGTCGTATGGAATTCCTCAGCTTAAAAGTGGTTACTATTAGGTATTAATGGATAACTGACTATGTGCAAGGCATTGGGTGAGGCCCTCACTCACTCATCAGCACTACCTAGACTGCTGCTAGCTCTCACTCCTGTAAGCTCAGACACCATGTTGATCTCCCAGGGTCTCCCGGGGTCATACAGCCAGTCAAGGAGAAGTTGGTATTTTATCCAGGTCTGTCTGCATCTAAAGCACAGGCTGTTCCCCGTCTTGCCTCTCAGCCACCCACCATTATAACATATGGCAGTGCTCTCATACAAGTGTTGACTGGAGATAGGCCAAAGGCTGTAGCCATTTTTTATTTGTTCCTCAGAGTATTTTTTTAAATTAAATGCTTAACACTTAAAAATTAGGCGATCTCATATTAAACAAAGTGTTTGGTTTTTCTCGAAAAATCTTTAGACCTGGCAATATTGTGCTCCTACGTTGACGTGACAGCAGGTGGCTCCAGCTTAGTAAACAACCCTCTTTCCCCCACCAGGAGGCATGACTTCTCGGGCTTGCCACAGGCCAGGCTGGCTCACTTCACTCATTTATGTTACTTGCCTGGCCTCTGCGGGCATTTAAATTTGTGACTCTTGATTTATGCCTTTACAGAAGTAATTTCTGTCCAGTTAGGAATCAGTTGGGGTAAAAGTCAATTTCCGCGTCTGAGTTGAATTTTATAGCTTTGATTTTTCTTTTCAACTTTTTGGGATAGTAATTCAGTAATAATAGCAGTAATTATTGAACATTTATTGAGCACTGTAACATTTAGCTGACTCCCAGGGTTAGCAGGCAACTGTTTGGTGGTAAAAACTTGTATAACTCTCCAATTTAGTTTGTGTTCTAAATCCTGTAGTTGCCCTGCAGGTACTGCAGGGACCAGGGACCATCCTGCAAAAGCATATTTTGGAGCAGCAGCATTACAGAGAGGGGAGATGAATCCAAAGAAAACCTTTTCTTTCTTTCTTTCTTTCTTTCTTTTTTTTAACAAAGTCTTGCTCTGTCACCTGGGCTAGAGTGCAGTGGTGTCATCATAGTTCTCTGCAACCTCAAACTCCTGGGCTCAAGTGATCCTCCTGCCTCAGCCTCCTGAGTAGGTGGGACCACAACCACGTGCCACGATGCCTGGCTAATTTTTTCTACTGTTAATAGAGATGGGTTGGTCTTTTATATGTTGGTCTCCAACTCCTGGCCTCAAGTGATCCTCTCGTCTCGGCCTCCCAAAGTGCTAGGATTATAGGCATGAGCCACCACACTCGGCCCAAAGAAAAACTTTCCAAGAGTGGTAGTTATGTTGATTCCATTTTCTCTTGGAAACTGTTGACTATGCAAGAACACCCTTCCTAACTGCCAGTGCTCAACACAATGAGCAGCTCAGACATTTCAAAGAGAAATATCTTAAAAAATTAGAACCTCATCAGGATGATGAGTCTGTCATCTTATTTTGATGTACCTCCTGCAAGTATACTTCCATTGACACTGAGAAATGTGTTAATTCTTTTTTATTGCTTCAGTTGAAGAAACATCTGCTTTTACCTGATCTAAACATATTTCATAGAAATGTAAACTAGTAACAAAATGCAATTTGACTGATTTCATAGCTGCAGATGACTTAAATTTTTTTTTTTTTTTGAGACAGAGTCTTGCTCTGTTGCCTGGGCTAGAGTGCCATGGCATCAGCCTAGCTCACAGCAACCTCAAACTCCTGGGCTCAAGCAATCCTTCTGCCTCAGCCTCCCGAGTAGCTGGGACTACAGGCATGCGCCACCATGCCCGGCTAATTTTTTCTATATAATTTTAGTTGTCCGATCAATTTCTTTGTATTTTTAGTAGAGACGGGGTCTCGTGCTTGCTCAGGCTGGTTTCGAACTCCTGAGCTCAATCTGCCCGCCTCGGCCTCCCAGAGTGCTAGGATTACAGGCGTGAGCCACCGCGCCCGGCCTTAAATTTTTAAATGTAGATAGTATTTAATATTAACATAGGAGAGCCCCCAAAGCTAAAGTTATCATTTATTTGCTTATTTTAAATAAGCATTTGTTTTTAATTAAGACAATGCCTAGAATATTGTTTTGAATTTTTATTGTTTGTCTCTTTTCTTTCAGGATCCCGCAGGGATCTTTGAATTGGTGGAACTTGTTGGAAATGGAACATACGGGCAAGTTTATAAGGTAAGTGCATTGAGTGTGAGCATGGCTCACCTGTGGTTTCCTTTTGTGAATGCTGAGTAGCCGAGCTGTCTGTACTTGCTCATAAATGCCTCATTACAGATTTAAAATGAAATAATATGCTTGATAATTGACTCTCCATTGTTTTAAATATATCAATAGTCGTATTGCCTAAACTGGATTCTGTGATTTAGGCATTTCCCTTCATTGTATATTAAAGTGTTTGTATCTGACACGTAAATTCTGACGCTGCATATTTGAAGCTCTTTAAGTGTTTAGTTTTCTTTACTTTAATCATTGCTGGAACTGTTTTCAAAAGAGCAAAGGATGCCATTTACTTTAAAAATTTAAGCTATTAAACTATCATAGCTGGAAAAGTAGATTTGTTATTGGCCTAGGGCACAAGTTAAATGAGTTTAGTGAATATTGTTAGAAGAAAGCTGGCTACCTCACAAAGCAAAGGCCTAATAGGTGCAATGAATTTTACAAGTTAGGGAATAATTAAAAGTTAGACTTGAGATTGAGCTGAGGAATAATTCCTTCATGCCTTTTTACTAATTTTTGCTTACAAATTCACTCAAAAAATGTTTAAAAAAGGCATTTTCCCCTAGTAAATTATCTTAAAAAGTGATTGTTTCAAAATGTGGATCGACTCCTCTTCTGATTATCAAAAGGAAATGGAAACAAACTGTTTTTGGACTAAAACTTTTGGGGTTTTGGTGAATGATCTATTGAAATGCCTTCAAAATAAATGCAACTGTTTCCTCATGATTATTTCTAGGGAAACATCCATCATTTTCCTTAGTGGTAGTGATATGGAATGGCATCTCCATTACAAATTATCCCTTGTTTCTATTTTTTAAAAATTTCTTCTTTGAGCTGTAAACTTCTCTTAGTTGATTAAAATTATTATAGAAGTCATCCAGACTGTAATATTTCCAATTCTGCAGAGTGGCAAAAGTACTATGTACAGAATGTTCTTGAGAATTTTGTTTTTAAAACACAATTATAAATGGATATACATTTATACCTTTATTTATCCGAGGTTCTCTTCGGTGTCCACTCCAGGGAAAAATTTCTCCCTTGCAAGAGTGGTTATTTCCTCAAATGTCAACCTTTTGCAGTTAGACAGAATGTCGACTACTCAAGCTGCTCGCTTGATGTTAATCCTGTCTGACACAGAAAAAAAGAAATGTGTCTGAGCAAAAGCTTTTAAATAGTTTCAGTGAAGACAATTAAGTTGGAAGATTGTGTTATTGCATTTTGAGAAATTGGATTGCACTTGTGAAGCAACTAATGAATGAAGCTCTGATATAGGTAGAAAATTACTTCTGATTTGCTGTCAGTGTGCAGGAGCAGCTCTGTAGAATGCTGTTGGTTTCATGGCACCATTTCTTAGAGCCATTCTGCTGTCGTGTGCTTCCCACCTGTAGACTATGCACCTGGAAGAAAATCCACAGCTTTGTACACTAATCCAAGAGGTGAAATTGTACACTCTTGTTAAGAGGAGATAACAGAGATTTAATTAAGGATGAGAATGCTTGGAAAATCCAGAATTGTCCCTGATTTCTTGTTACCTGAGAAGGAAAAGGAAACAAATGGCAGGAGATCACAGATCTATTTAGAGAGGGAAGACAAAGAGGGCGGCCAGGTCGTTAACATTATTATTCTAAAGGATTCCATTCTTTTAGCGATTGATACAGCACTTCGACACTTTCCAAATTCAGGGCAGGCTCTGCAAAGCATCGTCCTGGTGAATGCAGTGGACTTTGGGACAGGGACTTGGTCT